AACATATATAAACGAATATGGCTTTAACACTGTAAAGGCATATATCAGAATAGACCGCTCACTGATACATTTAACTCTATAACCTTGACTCACCCTTCTACACAGCACACTAGTACAAGTAAATATAATAAATGAGAGACTCTGTTCCTCACAACTAACATATCTTCATCATATATAGCTAAACTAAATCTAGTGGAGGCCAGATAGCCCACTCTAGTAAAGCTTTGGGCCGAAGATAAATTAGTCCTAGCTGTAGGTCTCTGTAATAATTCATGTAATCTATTTAAATAATGTAACACATAATTATTTAATAAAAACTGAGGCCAGGCCTCACTCTTAAAAAAAAAAAAAAAAAAAAAAAAAAAAAAAAAAAAAAAAAAAAAAAAAAAAAAAAAAAAAAATAATAATAATAATAATATATCTATAATTTCTTTAATCAATGATTCAGACAGATAAACATATAAAAGTAAGCATAAAAAAAATAATTTTTGTATAATAAAAATGTATTTAAGCATCATGTCAGATATTATTTTGCTTTATTTACATATATAAAATATCTTCTATTAAGAAAACAAAACCAAAAACCAACTGTATTAACAAAGATTATTTAAAAAATGCTACAATTAAATCTAAGACCAGAAATTTTATTAGATGTAACTGTATATAGCATTGTGATGGTAGTCATTAAGTTGATCCAAAAACACGAGCTAAGCATCAAAAAGAGTTAAATGATTTTCTGTATAATACTTCAAAATCTAAAATAGTTGTTCAAGATAAAAATAAATCTACTAGAAGCTTACTAAAAGAATCAAAGTATAGAAATGAATTAGTTGAACTAAATTTATCTGGTGGTAATTTTTCTAATAGATTTTTTGAAGATAATACAGTAGCTGATCTGAATAAAACAGAATTAGAGAAATTGAATTTAGATGATGAGGTTTTAACAGATATTAGTAAAGAATCAAGCAATTCTGATTATGATAATGCTCTTAAAGGTACTTGAATCAATCATTTTATTTTATTTATTATATTTGAATTAACTTTTTTATTTTATCCAATTTACTCAAATTGATTTTATCTTTTATTCATTATATTTGAATTAATCTACTATCACTATTTATACTTTTTTATTTTATCCAATTTACTCAAATTGATTTTATCTTTTATTCATTATATTTGAATTAATCTACTATCACTATTTATACTTTTTTATTTTTTTAAGATTATAAAAATCTTGATTCAAACATTAAATTTTCTTTGGATACTGTTATAGATATTCAAGTTTCAAACAAGATTTCGTTTTCTGGTTATTGCAATTAGATCTCTTATTAAGTTTTTTTGGATGGTCTTATTAGATGCTAATTAGTTAAGATTTAAAAACTTTTCTACTAGCTTAGATATAGTGAGAAAATTGTTAGAAATTAACATGCATACAAAAGAATATGGTGTATGTTCTAGTTGTGATATTTATATGAGGCTTCAGAAGTTACAAATAAGTAAGATAAAGGTTTTAAATGCACCTATATAGAGATTTCTAATTATCCAATGCATAGCCAAAGACATTCATGTGGTGCTGAATTGACTAAACAGGTTCTGGTTGTAGGTGGTTACATTAGAGGGCCAAAGAAGATTTTTTCTTTATTATTTTTAAAATTACAGTTAACTATTATATATCAACATCCAGGATTTGAGTCTTTTCTAAAAAAATAAACCAACCAAAATATTTACACAGAGTTAATATCTGATATTTATGATGATAAAATTTGGAAAGATTTTTCATTACAACTTGATATACAAAATTCACAGTTTTTTATACCAGAAACAGCAGATTCATATTTGGAGCTCAATGATTAATCTTGACTAGTTTCAGCTATTTGAAACAACAGCATATAGCAGTGGCATAATATATAGTACAATATACAACCTTCTTTGAGAAGAAAAATTTAAATAGAAAAATATGGTATATCTTAGACTTTTACCAAAACTCACAAAAATTAAGTTACATAAAATAAACAATTATCTTACATTAATAGTAGATGAATTGCTAAAATTCTGGAAAGGAGTTAAATGTATCAGTGAGCGGTCTATTCTGATATATGCCTTTACAGTGTTAAAGCCATATTCGTTTATATATGTT